GGAATTGCTCATGCTCAGCCTCGGGTTTGGGATAGTGGCTACAGGTCATCCGGGACATGGGGACTGAGCTGAGCAATTTCCTATTTGAGCGTTACATCCAAACAGACTACAGCTGTGTAGACGGAAAACCCAAACTCTTTCTTTAACTGTGCTCCCTGGAGGCTCCTGTTGTTTTGACTCTAAATCTCATCGCAATTTATAATTATTTTCCCCAACAAGCCACCATCCAATCCTCTGAGCACAGTTCTCCCCTGTCTCTCAGCTTTTGTTCTAAGGAACAATCATTTGTCCCCCAAATTGGAGTCACTTTCTTCCTTTATTGTTCTCTTTCCAAACTTCTCTTTACCTTAATTTTTTTTTTGACATTTTGTTATGATGCCCAGGCTGGCTTCGAACTTGAGATCTTTCTGCCTCTTCCTCCCTACTGTTGGGGTGACAAGTGTGTACCCCGAGGCCTAGCTGTCTTCTATTTGGCATCCTCGTTCCCTGTGCCCTCATCTCTACCACTTCTTGTTCAGTACTTCCATTGCCAGGACACAGGGGTCCCTTGCTGATGGCAGCCTGGCTGGGCTCCTTGCTTCTGCCCCTGGCCTGCAGATTGATCTAGTAGGACCAGCACAAGTCAGATTAGCTACTGCTCGGCTCTAAGTTCCTCTTTGACTTCCCACTTAGTGCAGAGTAAAGTCAGAGTCTCCTGCTGACCATCCTGTGTCTGGAGTTCCCTTTGCCACTGACACTGTGTTCTCTGCTGCTTTGCTGAGGGCTTTTCTCCTTTCAGACCTGCGCACCTGCCTGATCATTCTTTTTTTTAATTTTATTATTTTTTCTATTGTTTATATTGAGCTATACATTTTTCTCCATTCCCCTTCCATTTTCCTCCATTCCTTCTACCTTCTCCCGTAACCCCCCCACACTCCCAGTTTACTCAGGATCATTCTTAAGGTGCCACCGTTTCCTGTGCTAGGCTTGTGCCTACTTTCTTATGCCCCCCCCCATTGCCTCCTTGAGGGAGTCCTTCCCTGAATGGTCTGTCCATTTCCACTCCTTCTCCTGCTTCGGGGCCTTCTCAGTGTTGACTCCTTGTGTGCATTTGCCTCATTCTTCTTGACAGCGTTCGGATCTTGATATTCCTCAAAGTTCTGTGTTTTGAAGACCTGATTAGCAATACGTGGCTCTATTGGGATGCTGTGGAACCTTTGACAGTTGGAGTCTAATAGGAGGTCTTCTGTCATTTGGGATTGTGCCATTGAGGGAGATAGTGGGACTCTGGTTCTCCCTCGTGTCTCTTTTAGGCTTCTCGACTACGTCAAGGTTAGCGACTGCCACCCTACAATAGTTCAATACCGTAGTCTCAAAGCCACTGGCCAAAGCAACGGGGAAACCCCCGAGCCAAAAGAAACCCTTCTTCCTTCCAAGCTAGTTTTCTCGGGGATTTTGTCACAGCAGCAGGCTTTAGCAAAGGCTGACGTACTTTCCCCGGAATGCCAGCTGCTTGGGAGCAGAGGCGAAGCTCCCTCCAGTGCCCTCAGCCTGGGAAGGTACGTAGCACATGTTAGGCGCTCAATCTTTTTTCTTTTTAAACTAAGCGAAGACCTCACCACTTAACGAACTGCATTTAATGGGAGCAGAAGCCAAAGCTGGGACAGATGAGAAGAATGACTCTCCTTGCCCAGGGCACTGCTAGAGCGTCCTTCCCAAGGAAGGATGGTTATACCAGACACGAGGCACACTCAGTGCACGCGCTACTCCAAATGGGTCTCAGTGTGGCACAAATGTGTCAGAGGAGAGCACCGAGCCTTTTCCTCTGTGTGCTTTAGAGTCGCCCACAGAAATCACTCATCACTACTAAGTACTGATAACAGCTCCAAGAGGGGAGCAGGGGCTCAGCTGGATTAGCTTAAAGACGTTTAATGCAATCCCTTTTATCTCATTGAAAGGAGCTCTTCGGTGGCCAGCGCGACAGCTTCCAGATAGAGTGCTCAGGTCTGCCACAAGGCCCCTCCTCAAAGATAGATATATCTGTGACAGAGGATACTCAGCTCCCCGGGAAGACACCATGCTGGGCTTCTGTGGAGAAAGCAATGGTGCCCTATCCTCATCTGCAAGGATACCTGGTCTAGGTGGCTTCTTGGCTCAGAGCTCTTTCTGGTTCAGAGCCCTGTTCACCGGGTTGGTGGGAACACAGCTAGAACCAGGGAGGCTGAGGGTGTGGCGGGATGTCACCCATTCACTGTGGTGGTGGGGTACGGTAGTATCGCAGTGGGGCAGGACCACCATTCACTTTAGGTTGTGTTAAATACAGATATGCATGAAATAAACACTGTGGGTACTTACTGAGTTTTTAATGAGGCATGGGGTAACCCTGGGAGACATAGTGCAGGATCTATGTCATGGCTATGCCAGCACTACTAAGAAATGTTTCCTTCAGTCCCCACGGTCTGTCTGAAATAGCGTCTAAAAAGCTACCTGGATTTACCAACGTCTAAAGGGGGTTGTATTCAGCTCACTGGTCATGCATTAGGGATCCTGCACACGCCTTAAGAGAACTGGGTAACACAGCTTAGAATGGCATTCACTACCAGACTGAAACCCCTCCAGGGAGTCGCACTGCTCAGGGAATGAGGCCCTGCCTGGCCCTGACGATGTGTGCCACACTGTCAGAGCCTTCTCAGTTCCTTCAGTATCTCATGCACTTTCTGTTCCCTTTAGGTTGCTCTCTCAGCTCTTGTGACATTCGTCATTGCTCTCTTATTTTGCAGGAGCCTTTTCAGGCTGCCTCTGAGCTCACCCCTCCCTTTTTAGAGTACTTCTCAGACTGTTCTTCTCCTAACTCTGACTGAGCTGTCAACGGGGACAGCAGGGAGCTACCCTGTGCTCTGTGCTCCCTGCTGGAGGCAGACACTCATTCCTCCTGTCCACTGATTTGACCCCTGCCAGCTGCTCAGCAGCTCAACCTAACCTGTGTGGAGCCAAGGGCAGGATGGGTGGGGCAGGTTGAGGGTAGGGAAGCAAGAGGTGAGCAGGCTCTGAAAAGACTGTTGGTAGAGTTTGGACCGAGGCTGGGTCCCTCGAGAAGGGAAGCTTGGAGGGATGATAACCTCTCAGTCAGAGAAACCATTTAAACACAAGCGGGGAGACAGCGTCTGTGCGACTGAGGGAATCCATTTTCCATCTCTGGTCATTACTCTCCCTTCTGTAAAATGAGAGGCTGGAAGATAAAGAATTGCAAATAATATATAGGGCGAGGACACCGTCTGCTGTCCTGTTTGAGATCACAGCTGGCTTCTCTTGAGCATCGCATCAGCTCAGCTCTAGCAGGGATGGTGACGAAGAGGGGCCTGGGTGTAAGGCTTGGCTTAGCTGATGATGAGGGCAGGCCGTAACCCCGATTCGGTGAGCATGTGACAAGAGGAGGGCTAAGTAAGATGTGTGGCCACTGTGGCCAGGGGTGACAACCCAGCAAGGAGCACAAGGGAGAGAAGATCTGAGGAGAGAAAACAACGGGGGAGGAATTTGGCAAGATTCCCCAAGTCCACTTCCTTGACTCCTTTCTCTTCCTTATTGGACGGAGTCAAGCAAAACCAGTTTCCAGGCTGAAACGTTCTCCCACACAGCCAGATTGGATCTCCGGGTCCGGCCGGTGTCATGGGAGAATCAGATCTATCAGGGATAGTGTTGCGTAAGGCCACTCACTGCACGTCACTGTTGATCCCTATCATGTTGCTTCTTGCTCGAGCTCAGGAAGGTGGGAACAGGATGTATGTGTACCAGTGATTGAGGCTTAGGTTTACAAGTGATGTCAGTTTCACTGTGTCGGCAGAGAGAGATGGGGTGAGTTAATACTGTTGGTAATCACCCGTGTGTCTGCCCGCTTTTCTCTTCTCATTGGTTTCAGAAACATGCCACTTTCCACTGGGGGAATTTGTGTCATGATTAACGATCACACACACACACACACACACACACCACGCGCGCGCACACACACCTCCTTCTTTCTCAGTATTAATCACCTTCTCCCATAATTAGTAGTTAAAATGTCAAAGGAGAAGGAATTAATTAAGAGGACTATCCAGCGAAGCAAGGCGAGTACTGCCAGGCTCTGGGACTGAATATAAAAAGAGTTTCCTTAAATATTGTGAGCACTTTTGGGAGTCAGAAGCCTCTCTTCTAATCGAAAGATCCTTAACTCTACCCCAAATCTGGCCGGTGGCCAGGGGTGCGGGCCTGGGTAAGGTGGAGGGTGGAAATCCCTTCTCTATCCTTAGGAGACTCTCTCCATCTTGGAACAAGTGGCCCCAGAGGTTCAGAAACAGCAGGCGTTCCGGACCCCATCCGAGGGCAGGAAGCGCCTCAACTTTTCCCGAGCGCCTACTGTTAGGGGATGCTGCGTGGCATTTCACAAGAATCTGGTAAGGCAGGTGGTACTAACACCTTCGTTCTACAGATGAGGAAATGGAGGCTCAGCACGGTCGGGAGTTCCCCATGCCACACGGCGAATAACTGAGAAAGAAATCATTGACTCTTAGGTGCGATTCTAAGCTTCGATCTTTCATGGAATTCTGAAAAACTATTCTCAGCTCTCCGCTTCCCACCCGAGTTTTGACAGCTAGAGCAAGAACACAGACTCGCGCAAGGGAGGTGGAGCTGGGAGCCCAGCGCCCCGCCCATGTCTGATTTCAGCCAATGGTGACGCGGCACCCAAAGCCTTTGGTCCAGTCAGCCTTCGCTCTTCGCCCCCATCCTTTCTCTTCTGTCCCTTCCGCCCCGCCCCTTCGCTTTCCCTTTGGCTCCACCGAGCTTGACAGAGCGGAAAGTCCCTTCGGCCGGCGCCGCGCCGGCTGCCATTGGAGGAAGATCTGCTACTGGAAGACCCAATCAGAGCGCGCGCAGACACCAATCTCTGGATGCGATTGGCTGGCGCGGCGTCTGCCCTCTCCGCCCCCGTTCCTCCCTCCCCGCGGGCGGTTCGGAGGCGGGGCAGGTGGGGGCGGGCCCAGGTAGCAGGTTCGGCTGCGCGGGGGCCCGCGAGCCTGAGGTAAATACTGGGGTGGTGGGTGTGGGGTTCCGGGCCGGCCCCGGACACGCCGGCTATGAAGCCGGGGCCGGGGTGCTGAGCGGCGGCCGAGAAGGGTGAGTGAGTGCGGCCGAGCGGCACAGGCATGGCCCTCGGCGTTGCTTCTGTGCCTCGGGGCTCCCTGAGCTGCAGAGGCGACCGTCGGGCCTCAGCGCCCTCCCGTTAGCTGCCCCGGGCGGCCGAGCCTCTGACATCAGCCCCGGCTGCCCACCTCCAGCCTCCCGGGGGACTTCGAGTCGCGGGACTCCCGGACCAGAGGGCTTGGGGAGGAGCCAGCGCAGCACTCAGTCTTCCTCTTTGGCCCGCCGTCGTTGACAGATGGGGAAACTGAGGCCGGGACACTGGCTGGTCCCCCAGCGGGTTGCAAGAGGCACGGAGAGCCCCGGGTTGTGGTACTTCATGCCTGTGCCGTTTGGGGGGCTCTTGGAGACTCCTCTCCCGGAAGAGCAGTCCGGCCTCGCTAATGGCGTGTTCTGCTTTTTTTCTTTCAGTTTCCCTGGTCTGGGGAGGCGAGAGAAAGGGGAGGGAGGAGAATGGTTTGGCACAGTTGTGTAGTTGGAAGGTGTGCCCTGTTGAGACGGGTACCCCTCTTTCCTTTTATTGCCCATGGTCAGCTTTGGAGAATCGCGTAGTCGTGAATGAAGATTACGGTCTTGAGCTGCGTTCAGCTGCTGGGTTGTTCATGTCCTTGGCATCTTTTTCTGTTCCACCCCTTGGCATTTGCATGTTTTAAGGGTTTGTCATCTAGCCATCAAGCCTTGCTATCTCCCAACCCCCCTATTCTCGCCACCATCCTCTCTCTGATTTTCCTTGGAAGTTGTCTCCTTAGAGGAGCATTCATTCATACCTTGTTTTTGGTTTTTTTTGTTTTGTTTTTATTTTAGTTGGGGCTAATTAGGGAATCTTAATAAGATTGTTCATTTTTGTAATCATTGGCTCCAGAGAAGAATGCAGGCCTCAAGGGGGCGTGCATTCAGGCGTCAGTCTCCTGCACACCCCCTCACACCTCAAGTAGGTTGAGTGGCCCCAAGAATTTAGCCTGCTGCTCCCCACTGGGTAGTGGGTGGATTTGCACTAGAACAGTATTAAGAGAAAATGACTTGCTGGAAATTCTTAGTGAGGTTCCTGTAATTTGAATGTTGACAGTACTCAAACATTCTCTAATGTTCTGCTGCAAAATTCTAAGGTATTCTTTCAAAGAAATCCTTGTTTGGAGTGGTTAACTTTTGAGATGAGCCGACAAGGCCAGGAACTTGTTATATAAAATACCATCGAACAGCAGATAGCTAAACTGTGGTTAAGTGATTTAAGGAAATCTTTAATACATGACGAGCAAGGACAGTAATTTATCCTGCTCCTCAAACTATACTAGTATTTTGCTCCTGGCTTGTATACTATCATCTTAAATTTCTTTATTTTTTTTTAAGTATGTTATAGGTGGTGTGAGGCTAGGAAGCCAGTGTCAAATGAAGCTCAGAACAGCTTGGTTTCTTAAGTGTAACATTTCTCCTTGTTTATATTTATATGTGTAGCAGTATAGTCTAAAACTGATGGTGATTTCTTTTATCCAAAGAGTCAATGGTATTTTAGGCAAAAGTCATTTTCCTTTTGCTTGATTTTATATTTTAACGTAGTAGAAACTTGAGTCACTTGAAAGGACAAGGACATAGTGTTTTGACTTTCACTGTTACCTCCTAAGCTAATGAAGTTTCCCAGCATAAGCCCTGGGAAGACAAGGAGTGGGGCAGTCATTCTCCTAAGGTGACTGTGTGTAGAAACCAGACTTGGTCTTTTTTTAAACCTTGTAAGACCCACTTGTTTTAGGGACTGTATCCTTGTGTTGTAAGTTATTCTGGTCTTGAAATCTCTGTATTTCTGTGTACTGTTTAGGCATATAACAACTTGTTCTTTTAGCGAGGGTTGTTTTTTCTTAAACCGATAGTCATCCTAGCTGTCTTGAAGCATTTGGGAAAAGATGTGTTTCTTTTCTTGAGGATCCATGCCAGCCTGCTTACCTCTTTACCATTTATGGTTTGGGCAGTATTTAGTATTTCAATTTCTATGCTGATTTAGAAAACTTCCTGTGGTGTTTTAGAATAGGGAGGCTGCTTCAGAAGATGTCGGAAGTTCCTGATTGACACCTGTTTTTGTGAGCCTCTTAGATGGGGCAACCTGATCTCTTGAACTGATATCAAGATGTCTAATAGTCTAGAAAAGTTAGCAAGTCACCATCTCGGTGTAACTGATGGCCATTTGTACTGTGTGTTTTAGAAGTCTGATCTTTAATATTTGTGCTAGGACTTATATCTTGATCATCTTTTCATTTCATTCATTGGAAACTGATCAACATTTCTATTTTCAACCCTCATTTAGTTTAATGGTTATCGTAATATAACGAAACCCTCCTTTACTCAACATTCAGGCCATCACCAAGCTCATAGAAACAGATATGATTTCAAATCCCTGCGATTCTTTACTGTTCCCTTGTCTCCAGTGTCCTCAAAAATAGAAAAGAAGAAGCCTCTGTTCATCCTTATTTCAGGCTGAACAGTTTGAGGCTACACTGCTGTGTTTCAGCTCTTTGATACACTTGTTTGAATACTTAATTAATTTTCAAAATATACAAGATCACTGTTACCCAGTCTAACCTGAGATAGTGTTTATATGAGTTGTTCGTGAGATATACTCACTTTCACAGTGATTCCATTTGCCAAGTAACAAGAGAGTACAATTGAAAATTTCTCCCTTCATCTAACCCCATCCTCTTGACCATGGCCTTGGTGAGACCTATCTTCCTTCTATTACAGAAGTCATGACCTGTATTTAAAGCAGTAACTGAGTAGGTGGAAAGCAGGCGTCATACTTAAAAGTTTGTGGATTTCAGTGTCTAACCCTGACTGTATCTGAATACTCCCCCTGACCTGGAAAGAACTCACAATGTGATTTTGATGTTTCTCTTTCTACAAAGAGAGAAGTCTTGAGGCTGTTCTTATTGCTTGGGGTTATAAGGCTTTATTTAACTACTATGAAGAACCCAGTGGAATGAGAATGTTAACATTATATTTATTACTACAGTGGGAAGAAAGATGTTAGTGCATTTCTTTTGTAATGCTGATATCTTGAGAAGATAAATGATCATTTGGTGTATCATCAAGTGTATATCTAGAAAGAACCATAAAGTTCTTCAATCAACTTTATTATTTGTAATAAAGGAAATTAGCTGTAATGTGTTTCAAACCTATTCTTAATATGTTTCTTGTAAAGAGGGAAGGTCACGCGTGTTTCTCATATTTGGATAATACCTTAAAAAGTATTTTGTAATGTTTGCTTTGACTATTCTAGTTGTCTGTTGTGACCTACCCTGTTACTGACTAATAACTCAGGATCACTTGTGCAACAAGTTGGCAGACTTCATCACTCTCTGCTAGTTCACTTTAAAAATGGTATTTTAAAGCTTATGTTTCCAGGAACGTTTTTACTAACCAAGAAGCTATCTTTTTCCTTTTCTTTTAAACTGTGGACTACCTCCATTAATGAGTTGCAAAAGGCAATTTTGTAATCAAATTCATTTAAAATATATCATAAAACAAATAAAATGATTTGATTTGATAATGCTTCATTAACACTTATATTTTTATTTCAAGTTGCAGCATTAGTTGTTAAGTTAGAGAATCAATAGAATAGGCAGTTTCCAGCTTACTATTTAAAGATACCTGGTTTTAGAAAAAAATTACTGTAAAAATAAAATAGCTGTGAAATGGTTTTGGCCAAAAATTTTGCATTTTAAAGAGATCCTCAAACAATAACTCACTGCTTTTTGACTGCCTCAACCTCTGGGAACAGTCTCAAGAATATCTTTGTAATAAGGCTTTATGCACCTTATTTTTCAAGACCCTTCTAGAATTTGTTCCTTTTGTTTTTGTTGCTTTGCTTTTTCAGACACAGAAACATATCTCATCACCTCACTTCTTAGAACTGATTAGAAATAGTAAATTGGAAAGCAAGGAGGCCACAAAAAGAGTCAAGGACAGACTGCAGGAAACCACAGAAAATGGCTGATTGCAAGAGGGACAGTATAGTATAGGGTATGATTTGTAGAAAACAGGAAAGGGAGTCAGAGGGCAGGATGGAACGCTTTTTAATGAGATAATAAACGGACATATATTTTGAAGCTCACTAATGATAATTTATATTCCTAGTGATTCTTAGCGATTGAGGAAAAAGTAATTTCTTTTCTTGAAAAATGCTGACATATTAATAGCATTTTAGTAAAACAAAACAAAACAACAACAACAAAAGACCAAACACTTTATCTTGGTGCCTCAGAGGCACACAGCCACATTAAAGGGTTGTGTAGCTTCTTTGGTGCTTTTTTTGAGGGATTTTGTTTATGTGGGGATAAGATTGAGGTGTCCACAGGTGTGTTATGTAAGTGGCAGCTATAGATTGATTCTGTGTCTGTTGAAGTAGACAGTGCCCTCAAGTGGAGTTAAAGACACATTACAAAAGCAAGCAGAAAGAGGAGCCGCTCAAGCTGCCATGGCCTTCATACATCTTCACCAAATATCGCACAGATGCTTTAAGTGATGGTGGACTGGAGGAGTGCTGACTTTAGCCTGTCTTGGGTGATTTGTGTCTCTCATTTGGGTTTACAGAAGGACAGACTTGTGAGAATGTTACTATGATGGGACACTTCATCACCTAAAAGTGTTTTCTAAGAGAACTGTTACTGTGTGTTGAATTGCCAGGTTGCTTAATCATTGAGTCAAATAATACAGTTTGATGCTTTAGTTTTAAGTTTATTTGATTTGAATTACAAGAATAAAATGCTTACGTAGTATAATGTTATTAATTTCTGCCTATAAGCACAGGGCTGGAGAAGGATTTCTCTGTCTCAAAGAAGGATGAAACAAACATGAACTGTATTTGGGAATCAAGTAGCTATATTCTTATGGCAGAGATACATGGAAACCATTCTTTTCATGGAGATAATTAAATAAGTCCTTAAGTTTAAGGAATGAAATTGAGTTTTTAAAATTTTTCTTTGGCAGTTAGCCTCTATGCCATGGGTTTCTGAACTGGTTTATAATACCTGGCATGGATTCCCTCTACCAGAGCAGGCCTCAAATTCAATAGAGCATGGTTGACTGAGTCCATCACAGTGTTGCCTGCTTGGTTAGTATTGTAGTCCATAGGATTCACAGCTGGGCAAGACCACTGACGTCCCACTCTGCCTACCCAGCCTGCGTAGCACCTTTCAGCACTGTGAGAGCTGGTCAGAGGAGGACGTGTCCATCCCAGCTCTAGCTTCGTTTCTCGGTTTCTCTGTATCTTACAGCTAAGGAATGTGGTGTCTTAAGTAATAGAATCTCATCATCTAGTTCTGGTGGGCAACCAAGAGGACTGGCAAGAGTCTGGACTGTCTTGGGGGCATTTGGAAGCTCCCTGCCTAACAATTCTTAAGGAGGTATTCCTACATCTGGCACTGGGTGGGATTTTCGTTTAATAACCATGACTTCCAAGGGTAGCATTATTTAGTCAAGCAGGATATCTCCCTTATGAAGCTATTTTATTTTAACTTACATTTCTAAATTGGCTTATGAAATAGTATATATTTGACTAGAAAAATGGCTTAGCAGGTAAAGGTGCTTGCTGCCAAGCCTGATGACCTGAATTCAATTCCTGGAGCTTACACAGTGGACAGAGAGAACCAATTCCTGTGTTGTCCTTGTACCTTTACATGTGAACTGTGGTATTTGTGTGTAACAAGAGTGGACAACTTTGCCTTGCTCCTGATTTAGTGGGATAGCTTTAAACTTTCTCCATTTAGCCTGGTGTTGACAATGGGCATGTCATTTACAGCACTTGAAATTATGTTGTTTTAAGTCATTAGTTAAAGTTGTCTTTAAAAATGAGGCTACAAATTGTAAAATTATTTTTCTAACAGTTTTAAATGCAAGTTAAAGCTGGAAAATAATCACTTTTATGTTCTTCCCTTTATACATAGTTAAAATTGTGGTATAAAGCCCACAATTTATAGATATAAGCATCTATTATTCAGTATGATTTATAGACATAAACATCAAAATCAGATTGGACTAAAAATCTTAGAGCAATGTAATATAGTCATATGTCATCATTGCATTGTCCAACTTTTGATCTACAAATCATTTCCTAACATATATATATTTATATATATATATATATATATACTCAAGATTATATTTAATGCTTGTGATTGTAAGAAATTAAATAGTAGTTATAATTAGTATAGTTAATATCTCCTTGTCTAAGCACAAAAGATATATGAAAATGAAATTGAGGGGCTAAAGAGATTGGTCAGCAGTTAAAAGTGTGTACTGCTCTTCCAGAGGACCTGAATTCAGTTCTCTTCACCCATGGTGGGCGGCTCACAACTGCCTATAACTCCAGCTGCAGAGGATCTAACCGCCCCCTTTTGGCCTCTGGGAGTACACACATGTGCCATACAGTCACAGAGATACAACATATATATGTAAATAAAAATAAAATGTATAAAAAATAAAATTGAGGAGATAATGTTCCATTACCAGAATGAAGCATATAGATAAATGAATTGTGGATAAAGTTTCAGAATGTAATATTGTCATTTTTTAATTGATAAAAGATGTTCGATACTGTAATGTGTTACTTTCTAAGTTACATGTTTAGAAATAACCTTTTTAATTTATAAGATTATGTGTGTTTTCTCAAATATTGTATCTTATTCATTCATGTTAGACAGAAATGCTACTTTGTAAAGTTTAAAAAAGTCTCAGAGTCTGTATATTAGGGTAATCTTAAAGTTTTTGTTAGATTCTATCTAACTTTATAATTTTGGAAAAGTCGTTATTGTTTCTATGGATGCTCTGTAGCTGGAGTTCTTTAAAAATGCAGTTACAGTGGACACAAGTCATATGGGTCGTTTAGCTCATTGAGATATTTATATAGTCAAATGAGATTTTAAAACATCTTTAGTTTTATTTTAAGATTGTATTGAATAGAGTCTAAAGTTTGTTTTGCTTGTTTGCCAGGCACTTTGAATTGCTGTCTTTTTACAGCATGGACACCAGGTTGTTAACAACTTGCTTTGGGACTTCCAGTAACTTCATTTTTGGGGATTTTATGACAGATTTGCTAGTGGCTCCTTTTTGTGAGTTGATGTTCTGAAGTTACTGTCACAATGAGTTCAGGCCTATGGAGCCAAGAGAAGGTTACTTCACCTTACTGGGAAGAACGGATTTTTTATCTGCTTCTTCAAGAATGCAGTGTAACAGACAAACAGACACAGAAACTCCTAAAAGTACCCAAAGGAAGTATAGGACAGTACATCCAAGACCGTTCTGTTGGGCATTCAAGAGTTCCTTCTGCAAAAGGCAAGAAAAATCAGATTGGATTAAAAATCTTAGAGCAACCGCACGCAGTTCTATTTGTTGATGAAAAGGATGTTGTAGAAATCACTGAGAAATTTACAGAGTTACTGTTGGCAATTACCAACTGTGAGGAGAGGCTCAGCCTATTTAGAAACAGAATTCGACTAACTAAAGGCCTCCAGGTAGATGTGGGCAGCCCTGTGAAAGTACAGCTGCGATCTGGGGAAGAGAAATTTCCAGGAGTTGTACGCTTCAGAGGACCTTTATTAGCGGAGAGGACAGTTTCGGGGATTTTCTTTGGAGTAGAATTGCTGGTAAGTTTGATAGGACATTTGAGAGAGAGAGAGAAGGAGAGAGAGAGAGCGTATGAGAAAGCGAGTGTGCGCGTGAGCGAGAGACCACGAGCACATATTTTCCCCTTTCTAAGATTTGTGTTTTCTGTTTGTTTGTTTTTAGTACAGTTCTCAGGATGGTCCTCAGGACCCTCTGCCTCTGAGCTATAGTTCAGCCCCAAAATTTATTTAATGATAAATTGAGAGGATATAAAGACAATTCTTGAAAACTTTAAAAAATTATCTCTTACGGTAGAAACTTACAAGTCATTATTCTGGACTTCATATCTTAGAAGATTTTAAGTTACCTATATTAAAAGTTAACACTGCCAATTGTAATTATAAACACTTAAAAAATTGTGAACTATCTTGTGATAGTACCCACAGGATTCCCAGTTCTTAGTGTGTGCTACTAAGTATAACAATTTAGAGGTAAAATTTTTGAAGTGTGTTGCAGCAATTTCAGTTTGCTCATGCTTATCCCCGGAATGTATAAACTGCCTTGGAACTTATGTGCCTTGGCAACATATCTAAGAATTCTATATTCCAAACTGACTGTTGGTTCATTTGGACACTCTCAGGAGTAGAGAGAGGTCGTGCTTTACTTGCTTCTTGATTTGGCTTTTCAAGCAGTGAAATAATTAGGCTGTGACTGCCAGTTATGGTATGTACTAGCAGGGTTGCCAGCTACTTAACCTACATCAAGTTCTCCTAACCTGTTCCTAATCTGTGAAGTGCTTAGAGCACACATGACTTATAGTAGTTGTATGGTGGATGGCTGTAGATGGTTACAGTTTGTTCTCAGTAAATGGAGTTGATGCTGCTGTTTGGTTAAAGTTGAATGTATGTTCATGACAAAAGTCATGGTACAACTATGTTGTAAATTTAATCCTCATTCTTCTCAAAAGAATTATCAGCTGTCACTAATTGCTTGTAGCTCTTCACCTAGGAGTGGGGCTTGTGAGAGTTCCCCTCTACTCCAGCACATCAGCGGTTGCTGTGATAGTGCTGATTTTGTTCAGTCAACTGTACTGTTGAGATTTCATGGTACAGCGCCTCTGTTGTATATAGAAGATACGGTCTCAAAGTAGACACCCCGCTCCTCTGACTCTTACCATCTTCCCACCTCCTTTCTGCATCAGTGTTCCCTGAGCCTTAAGTACATGGGTTGTTGGAATATGGTCTGCGTCCTTTCCCTTTTCTTCTGCAATTCTATCCAAATGTCTAGTCTTGTGATGACGTACTGTCTTCTCTGCTTTTCTTGCTGTTCTTAGTTGTATAATTAATCACTCATATGTTTTACCTACCTGTGGTTAGAAGACTTTCTAAAAAATATTTTTAGAAATATCAAATTTCAAGCAAAAGTTTAAAAAATGAGCACAGGCATTATGCTGCCTAGTATACGTTTCCTTGTTCACAAAAGTTCTCTGCAGCATATACTTAGTGGTCCAAGTCCCTTACTCAGTGGTCCAAATCCCTTACATTAAATGTAACATACACAATTTATCTCAAATCTCTACATATAGTCTACAGTATAGTAGGTGCTTTCTCTGATATGATCATGCATTTTATTTTTTCCTACACTATTCAAATTTCTCTCTTTGGTGGGAATTTATGCTCATATGGCCACTGCAGTGTTCTAAAGTTTTCAGACTAGGGGTGCATGGGTTAGCCCACATGGCCCAAAGATTTGTGTCTTCAATTTTCCTCCACACAATAAAAGTGTCACCTTGGCATTTTGACAAGATTATTTTTGATAGTGAAAAGAGAGGCAGAGAGGATGATGGGAGGATAGGGAGGCAGAGGAGAGGGGGGAGGTTAGGGAGGCAGAGGGGAAGAGAGTAGGCCAGAGATGTAGGGGAGGAGGGAGGTTAGGAACTCAGAGGTAAGGAGGAAGACAGAAGGGAGGAGGGAGGCAGAGGGGAGGAGAGAGGCCAGGGAGGCAGAGGGG